ATGGGGTCGGGGGATCGCGCCGCGCCGCCGATGCATCGGCGATGCTGCTCGATGTGGAGCCCGATTTCCTCCGCGCTGGCGTCGCCGAGACGCCGCCGACGTCGCCGATGCATCGCCGAAGCACCGTCGATGCATCCGCGATGCATTGGGGATGCGCCGCGGCCCTCGGACCCCGTCTGCTCGGACCCCATCTGGGAGGCCTCCTACTCTAGGCCCACCAAACGAGTGTTTTGATATAACCTTCTGTGGTTCGCGCGTGCTCCAGGGGCCAGTGGGGCCGCTTTGGCGCCCCATCCGAGGCATGTCGGAAGCCATCGTGAACCATCGTCGGCTCTCTTGAGCTGATCTTGGAGCACGGGGGGGGAGCCATCCTGCACCAGGAAGGACCCTCCGAGACATCCGTCCGTCTCGTCCAGTTGGGCCCAGGTGAGGGAGGGGGGCAGGTGTTCTGGACGAGGGGGGAGAGCAACCGTCAGACCACGTGAACCCAAAGGTCTGGTGGTATTTCCAAACGTGCATGTTGGTGGGATTCCGCTTTTTAAGAGCTTCCGACTGTGTTGGTTTTGATTCCACAGGTGTGGACGGTTGAAGACGCATTACGCACATGCATAGCTGATCTGGGGTCCGCACTGATTTCTTGGATCTGCGGTGGGCTCCTGGCGGCGCATCCGGCGTCGCCCCTGGCGCGCTCCGCGCTCCAGGGAGGGGGGTCCAGCGCCGATGAAAGAAAATCCGCGTGGACCTCCGAAAGTCCATGGTTATCGAAGACGCCTACAGCGAATCACCGCCGCCCCCTGCTTTTTTTGGAAACACCTATGTGGCCGAACGTTGCGGCCAGAGCTCGGCCAAGCTATCGGACTATGTGTTCCATCAGCCGTTGTGGAATCCATCTGGAGAACAAGTGCGGGAGAAAGAAGAAAAATATGAAAAAGGAGGAGATCTCCTGCAAGTCTCTTAGGGCGTTCTTTGAGCCGTCTTGAGGCTATTTTGAGCCGTCTTGGGGCAATCTTGGGCCTTGAAGGCATTGTGGAAGAATTTCTAGGCCTCTTCTACCCTCTTGGGTCGTCTTGGGTCAAGTTTGACCGTCTTGGGTCAACTTGGAGATCATCGTGCCCGTCTTGGAGGCCATCGTGGCCAGCTTGAGACCATCTCAGGGCCGTCTTGAGCCACCCTGGGGTCCTCTTGAGCCGCTTTGGGGGCCTCTTTGGGGCCTCTTGGGCTGTATTGGGGCAGTCTTGGGAGCCTCTTGGGTTGCCTTCGGCGGTCAGATACCAAAAACGGCAAGACCACCAACATGGCTTGAACACCAATGACAAACGATTGATTTGGGCATCTTCCACCGAGCCCTTATTCGGGGGAGCTGCCCTTGCTCGGGGGAACGTAGTATCATGTGGAGAGCTCGGGGAGCATCAGTGAATCAGTGGGAGGGGTTCTTCTTGGGGGTCTTTTTGGAGGCCTCTTGGGCCAGCTTGGGGGCCTCTTGGCGTCTCGTGGGAGCCTCTTGGGGCATCTTGGAGGCCTCGTGCGACGTCTTGGGGGCCTCGTGGCGGTCTTCAGAGCCTCTTGGGGCGTCTCGGGCGGCTCTTGGTGCCTACTGCGGGCCGCTTGGGGACCTCTTGAGGAGCCTCTTGCTGGCCTCATTGGGGCCTCTTGAGGCCTCTTGGGGTACCTTGCGGAGGGGGGGTTGTCTTGACCCCCTTTGGGGGACATGTTTTGCCTCCCTCCTGTCTGTGTGTGTGCGTGTGTTGGCCCCCTACCTCTCACACATGATAGTTTGGAACATTGCCCCACATGTTCGCAGGGGAGGGCAAGTGTCGGGGCACGCACGCGTTTGTGGCGGCTGGCCTTAGAACTCACGAATAGTGTTCGGTATGAGAGAAGAGCACTCTAAAACGCCCAGTCCGTGCATGCACGGTGGCGGACCTTCTTGTTTCTGCCACATACTTCACGCTAGACTATGTAAGGATGGAGGAAAGAAAGGAGGAGGGAGGGAGGAAGTAAGATGGGCACGTGAAGGGAAGGATGATGGATTGGGGAAGGGGGGCAGCAGAAGGAACAACAAAAGCAGGCAAAGAGGGATGAAGAAGGACGAGGAGGGACAGCAGGTGGAATATATTGATGAGCCAGGGGGGAGAGAGCGAGAGAGAGGAAGAGCGAGAGAGATACCGATATATATATATAGAGAGAGAGAAGGATAGAGAAATAACAACACACAAGAGAGAGAGAGAGAGTGAGAGTGATATGAGAGAGAGAGCGAGATATACACATATATATGTATGTATGCATATGACACATCAAAAACATAAAATAAACAAGAGAGACAGAGAGAGGAAGATATAATAAAACAACCAGAGACAGAGAGAGAGAGAGAGCGAGAGAGAGAGCGAGAGAGAGAGAGAGAGAGGTGGAGCGGGGGCGTGGAGCTTGAATTGGCCGCCGTGGCCCAGCGGGTTCCGAAACGGTCCGCCGAGCCAGTGGGCCTCCATGGACTGCTGGGCGCCCCGAGAGGTGGCCGGGGGAGCAAGGCATGTGGAGCGGCACGAGCAGAGGTGGGGCGACAGGAGGAGCAGCAGGAGGGAGAGAGGGACCAGCACGTGGCAGAGGCAGCAGGAGCCGTCAGGGCAAGATCACTGGTACCAGTACCCGCCCAAGTGCCAGCAGCAGGAGCGGCAGTGCCAGGACGAGGACGCAGAGGACGGGGAGAATGTGGAATGCGGGCGCTAGTAGGCTGGGGATGGCGATGGTGATGAGGAGGAGGAGGAGGAGGAGGAGGAGGAGGTGCAGGACGCGATGGAGGGGGTAGGAGAAGGAGTGAACATGGGGAGGAATCGAGGAGGAGGAGGAGGAGGAGGAGGAGGAGGAGGGTAGATGGAGAAGGACGGTGGGAAACAAGAGGAAGGAGGGATGAGGGATTAGGGTCATCGTCCGCCTCTTCCTTCCCCCCTCACTCCTGCCTCCCCGAAAGCTTTACTTCCCTGAACACCCTGAGGTCCCTTTCCCCACCCATCTCCCTTCTCCTCCCATCGCTCTTCCCTTCCTCCCTCCCTCCCTCCCTTCATATCTCCCGAGAAGCATCCAGCCAGCCCTTCCCTTGTCCGCACTCCTTTCCCCGTCCCTCTCTCCCATCCTCCTTCTCCCTCTCCTCCGACCCAAGGCCTGGCTGGGCCGAGTGGGCATCGGCAGCGCTTCGATCAGCTCCGAAGAACCGCTGCTGGCCCGTGCGGTCCTCCTCTTGCGAGCTTGCCCCACGAAGCGACGGTCAAGAGAAGGGCCCATTCTCTCCCTCCCCCTCTCTCCCTCACTTCTCGCGGTGGAGGGCCAACAGTGCAGCAACTCGTGCCCAGACGGTGGCCCTATCTGCTGTTCGTAAGGTCCTCAGGGCTTCTTGCAAGGCCGCTTTGAGGTTCCCAATTGGCAAGCTGCCTTGAATGCCCAGACGTCCCACGATAGCTGACGGACCTAATGCCGCAAGAGTCCGGTTTCACTCGAGTCGAGGTGGAGGCGGCGGCGGGATCTTCCTGCGGGTCATCATCACCCCCATCACCTCCCTCGCGGACCTTGGCACGCGTACGTTACGCTCTAGCGGGCTACCCTACATTACATAGTCTCTTTGCTTGTCATCTCACCGCCGCGTGCTTAGCTCCTCTTGTGCTTGCTACTTCGCCTGAGGCAAACGTTTCCCCTTCGCCGCCAGCGTTGCCTGTCACGGCAGGCCTGTTTAACATCTTGTCGCTGTCCCCATGTGTGGGGCGCGACGCTCTTGGGCGTCCGATCGGACCTCTGCCTGAACCAGTTGTGTGTACCATCCTGGCGCTACGATTGTGATGGTTCTGGGTGCTCGAGGTTATTTGTGGGATGTGGTCCTGAAGTTCGATGGGAGCAACATAGCGCTACGATCCCAGTCGATACACACGTAAAACCTCCGGGTGGGGCCTCCGCCCCGCGAGGAGGAGGAGGAGGAGGAGGAGGAGGAGGAGGAGGAGGA